TAAAGAAATCCTACATATAGACACGATGTATCCAGTCATTATTTCAAGAATGTTCAATCAATGCGATGTATTGAGCAATATAGTGCGAGAAAGACTTACCCGAAGCTCGACCTTGACTTGCTGCGCCTTGTCGGTGAATACCCTGCCATCCCGATCAGGGGCATCGGGGACGGCGGCATAGTGGGCCCATGTATAGGCTAGCTCGATAGCTCCATTGAACTGCACCAGGCCAAGGAACTTTTCCTTGATCAAAAGACCAAGGATGTCGTTCACATGGCGTGCGTGATCACCCCCACCGACCTTCCTCCAACCCCTGCCTAAGTGATTAAGATAAATTATTAGTTTCTATTATAATTTTGAACATATCAAACAAAAAATTAGTGATAACATCTAAAGTTACTTACTTGTCTCCATCGGGTCGAATTAGCGGGCGTCTCTCAAGAGGTATCGGTCGCCTCGGGAGGGTCGAGGGACCTCACAACCACACATGCGACGAAGTAGAGGAAGAGGTACCCCTTGTCTCCTCCTCCACCCCTGCCTCCTCCTCCACCTGTACCTCCTCCTCCACTTGTACCTCCTCCTCCTCAGAGGATGAGTGAGTGGAAGGTAACTCAGACGGCGACGAAGATACATGCGACGGTGGCCTTGTCTTGCCTCCACCCTTCCCTCGACTCCTGGGTCTACCCCGAGGTCTCTTCCTGGATCCCTCAGCTGCATCGGACCCTTTACGTGTCGCTGTCGCTTTTGAGTAAAGCGATGCTATCCTCTTTATACCGCCCACCATTGTTCAATCACCTGCAATTAAAAAGAGTAAACCAATTAGCATAGATAATACATTAAAATAGATGCAAAATCTATGGGAGAGATGGCTCAGCCATAGCACCACCAGCTGTCGACGCTGAAGAAGCGGAGGCAGGGGGCGCGGCACCATCGGGCTTGGTGAGCTTGCTCCTCTAATAGATCGACGTGCACAGGTTGAAGGCGGCCGGCAATCACCGCGTGAAATAGAGCTAGAGCACAGCAGGTCGTCGGCAGCCGTCCCACATGCATAGGGGAAGCTCGCCGCACGGGCTATCCCAGAAGTCGTACAGGCGGCGACGACAGTCTGGCTCCTGCTCGCTGCTCCTGATTTAGGCGGTGGCGGCGGTAGTCCTGCGATGCTGAAGAAGCGGAGGCAGGGAGCGCGCCAATGCTGGCTTCCTTTAGCGACCGAGGGACGGGTGGGGAGGAAGAGGAACGGGGAATGCCGAGGGCTGGGCGGTGGGGGCATGCGAAGCCAGCGGCGACCGTGGGTTGCGGGAGCTAGGCGGTGGGTCTGTGCGTGTCTACGCTTGTGGGTGTGTGTCGTGTGCGTGTGTGCGGCCCATGCTAGATATGAGGGGGGGTTTGCCGAGTGTCCTAGATTTAACACTCGGCAAACCCCATCTTTGTCGAGTGCCAGATTAGGGACACTCGACAAACCCAGTTTTTTTTTCATTTTCCTTCGTATCCTCCTTTTTCTAAACCCTAAAATACTTTGCGTAGGGCCGGGTGAGGGGAGTTTCCCGAGTGTCCCAGATATGACACTCGGCAAACCCCATCTTTGTCGAGTGCCAAATCAGGTGCACTCATTAAACCCACTTTTTTTTATTTTCCTTCGTTTCCTTCTTTTGCATAACGTGTTTTTTAAATTTGTTCTGATATACTTTGTAAATACCTTATCAAATTCACTCAACAATATATATTTGATTTTTCTACGAATATTATTCCATTATTTCATGCAGTTATAGCTCAAATTCAATGTATATCAATTAAAATTCTATAATTGCACTTAATAAATTAAAATTATCAAACGGATCCAAAAAATTACAAAAATTACACATGAATCAATCTATGTTCTCTATTGCCTATACAAAAACTTTTGAAGTCAAACCCCAATTCGACCGTCACTTTGATTCCAAATCTTTCTGAATCCTTCTCAACGCTACGATTCTTCTTCTGAGATACTTTGGCTTGTAAACATCGTACGTGATAGATTGTGTGAAACCTTCTCAATTTTTTACCATGGCCTCCATGTATGATATCAAGAGATCTTGATAAATCTCATGATTTTCAGACTTCTTTTGGTTTTTTTAGAATTTAAAAACCATTCGACCACATGTTCGTGGTCGTGTTTCCTGAACAAGATGTTCAAAATTTCTTTTTATTTCCTAGGTAAGGCCTCACACTAGACTCAATAACATGAATATTATTTTTCTACTCATTTTATTCTATTATTCGAATCACTTGCAGTTCAAATTTGACTTATACCAAAAAAAATCCTTGAAATGGAATAAATTAATTAAATATAGCGAACAGATCTAGAAATATACAACATCTTAACATGGAGTACCACATGTTGTATGTGGACAGTAGAAAAAGTTTCAAGGTCAGAAGAGAAAAAAAACTTATTATTATATGCAGTTATATCTCAAATTCAATTTATATCAATTAAAATTTTATAATTGCACTTAATAAATTAAAATTATCAAACGGATCAAAAAATTTACCAAAATTACACATGAAACAATCTATATTCTCTATTTTCTATACAAAAAGTTTTGAAGTCAAACCCCAATTCGACTGTCACTTTGACTCCCAATCTTCCAGAATCCTTCTCAACACTACGATTCTTCTTCTGAGATACTTCGGTTTGTAAACAACGTACGTGACAGATTATGCGAAACCTTCTCAATTTTTTACCACGGCCTCCACGTATGATATCATGTGATCTTGACAAATCTCATGATTTTTAGACTTCGTTTGCTTTTTTCGAATTTAAAAATCATTCGGCCACACGTTCGTGGTCGTGTTTCCTGAATAAGATGTTCGAAATTTCTTTTTATTTCCTGAGTAAAGCCTCACACCGAACTCAATAACTTGAATATCATTTTTCCACTCATTTTATTCAATTATTTGAATCACTTGTAGTTCAAATTTGACTTATACCAAAAAATTCCTTGAAATGCAATAAATTAATTAAATATAGCAAACAGATCCAGAAATATACCAAATCTTAACCTGGAGTACCACATGTTATATGTGGATAGTAGAAAAAGTTTCAAGGTAAGAAGAGAAAAAAAAGTTATTATTTCATGTAGTTATATCTCAAATTCAATTTATATCAATTAAAATTCTATAATTAAAGTTAAAAAATTAAAATTATCAAACGGATCAAAAAATTTATCAAAATTACACATATAACAATCTATGTTCTCTGTTTCCTATATAAAAAAGTTTTAAAGTCAATCCCCATTTCGACCGTCACTTTGACTCCAAATATTACCGAATCCTTCTCAACTCTACGATTCTTCTTCTGAGATACTTCGGTTTGTAAACATCGTATGTGACAGATTATGCGAAACCTTCTCAATTTTTTACCACAGCCTCCACTTATGATATCATGAGATCTTGACAAATCTCATGATTTTCAGACTTCGTTTGTTTTTTTAGAATTTAAAAACCATTCGACCACACGATTATGGTCGTATTTCCTGAACAAGATGTTCAAATTTTTCTTTCATTTCCCGCATAAGGCCTCACACTGGACTCAAGAACATGAATATCATTTTTCCACTCATTTTATTTCATTATTTGAATCACTTGCAGTTCAAATTTGAGTTATGCCAAAAAATTCCTTTAAATGAAATAAATTAATTAAATATAGCAAACAGACCGAGAAATATACCAAATTTTCGCATGGAGTACCACGTGATGTATGTAGAGATTAGAAAAAGTTTTGAGGGCAGAAGAGGGGAAAAAGTTTAGTCTTTGCCGAGAGCCAACAAAAAACACTAGGCAAAATGATTACTTTGCCGAGTGCCATAACGAAGCACTCGGCAAATAATGTCTTTGCCGAGTGTCACTAACGGACACTCGGCAAGGTGCTAACGGTAGGGCGCTCCAGCTGGCGGCTGTTGCACGGTCGGCGCACGTGCTGGTATTTTGCCGAGTGCCTGATGTTTGCCGAGTGTTTCGATATTATTTGCCGAGTGTTTACTTTAAGGCACTCGGCAAAGAGGGTTTTTGCCAAGTGCAATATGTTTGCCGAATGTTTTCCGGCGGCACTCGGCACACAGCAGGTTTGCCGAGTGCCCGATGGAATGCACTCGGCATACCTACAGTTTCCGGTAGTGATATACAAAAATGAGAACTTTTGTTGCTCCTGGACTTCAGCCTTTAAAAGATCTTCCAATAACATAACTGGCACGACCAGACCAAAACAGTAAACGGAGCACAAATTCAAATCCGAAGCCACACAAAGACAATGCTTAGTTCACCCAAATAACCATAGGATAGTCGTTCAGCAAACAAACCCCACATATTAGATAGTGGTTCAGCATAATAAGCCCCACATATTAGATTTAGATAGTGGCCAACAAACCCAACACGGTAGAAATTGGTTCAAATATAACAGCCAAGCACAATAGAGTAGTTACACACTATTACTTATAAGGTCCCACTAAGTTTGCATAACCTAAGATGACGGCAGCATCACTGAACCAGACGTAGCTACAATAGTCACTACGGGATACTGTGTATTTACCGAGTGTGAGTAACACTCGGCAAATAGTGCTACACACTTGGCAAACTGTTTACCGAGTGCCACACTCGGTAAAGTGGACTCGGCAAACAACGACTCGGTGAAGTTATTTTACCGAGTGTCTAATATCGGCGCACTCGGAGCAGAGAGTTACCGAGTGCTACAATGACACTTGGTAAATAATTATGATTTGATGGTCGTCAGCCTCCAAACTAACCGTTAACGGCGACGTTTACCGAGTGTCACTAGCAGCACTCGGTAAATAAATTAGCATTTCGTGATTAAAACAATTCCGCAAATAAATTTTTTGAATAATGTTTACCGAGTGTAGCTCCTAACACTCATAAAAAAATAACCATTTTCGTGATTAAAATAATTCCGCAAATAAACTTCAGTAATAATGTATTAAGGGTCCTACCGACGAAGCTTAACAGCACAGTCAAGGGTCCATTATCGACCAAGAAAGCTTCACACGCATCTTGGTAGCACCAACAGTAATTTGACCTTCATCTCTGCCGTTGACCATTGGAATGAACTGTATGCTCTCTGATTTACCGTCACCGGTGTGGAAAACAATTATCAGGAAATCCTCAACGTGGACAGATACGACAGGCCGCATAAGCTGCAGGATATCTCCGCAATCATCAACAGTCGTAGCATCAGCCTCTTTGCTGTCATAAAGCACAAGTATGTCCTGGACGCTGGTGGTGTATGCGGTGATTTTTCCATGAAAACCTCCCTGCAGAACTTCAACTGCAATAAATCCCTCAATTGCACGATTCACAACTGCATAAGTCACGTCCATAGTACTGAGCCTGGTAGCAAGCGATTTGGTTTCGACCATTGATACCATCGATGCACAATCTGTTGGGTCACTGATGCTTAAGAGTCCTTTACTAAATTCTCTGGGCTGTCCTAGATGATCCTTGATCTTTAGATCAATCTCCACATACATATAACCACACAATGCGAGCCCACGTTTCGGCCCAGTCAAGATCAATGATTCAGCCTAAGGTAAGGTTTACAGGATACATTAGTGGCACATTAATTATTTCTATCTACAAATACATAATTCTGCAAAAGGATTTCTGATGAAACTGTTAATTGTTGGTCTCATAGGAAGCAACAAGTAGTACTACCATGTAAAGAACTACTACTATAAGAGACAAATGTGTGACATATATATGCGTCTCCCTGAAAATTTGGATTTTAGTGGCACATAAATTATTTCTACAAATACATAATGCTGCAAAAAGACTTTCAGCGACTTCTATAGCTAGCTGATGAAACTGTTAATGGTCGGTCACGATAGGAAGCAACAAGTACTACCATGTAAATACAGATTCGCCATTTCTAGATTTCTTCTTCTACAAAAAGCTCTACTAAGAGATAAATGCGTGATAGGAAACATATGTGTCACCCTGAAAATCTGGATTTAGAAAGAATTAAGTACACATAGTCATGGTTACAGTGTCCAGCACGCAAAATACAAACCGGTTATAAGTTACAGGTCAGTTCAGCATAAAAGTTTTATATTTTCTCTATTATTATAATAAAAATACGAAATGAAGAAAGGGGCGCAATATGAGGCTACTAACACGCGCATAAGTAATGCAAACTAGAAAGGATAAGAGATCAAAGTTGTAGGTACCTCAGAATTGATGAGTTGGCAATGGTCAGGGTCGCGGCGGAAGTGATAAACACACCTCTCATCGATGCTGTCCCTGACAATGACAGTGCCATACACATGGATCGGGAAGCCAATATCCGAAGAGGCTACCTTGACAGACAAGAAGTTTACAGCCCCAGACAGTTTGTAGTTCTCGGTCTCGATTACTTTGTGGGGGTAATCAGTAAATCTCATCGGACCAAAGGGTGCTGTACGTGGTGCATCCATGTTGGAAAACAAAGGGTATTAGATCATCAGTCGCATCTATCAATCATGCTTACAAGTTGAATAGTTGAATATTGGTACGTATATAGAACTATAAATGTGGTGCATCCATGTTGGAAAACAAAGGGTATTAGCTCCGAGTAATCCAATCCCCAAACACACAAAGCAGCATTGCAGCAATTAATTAATTTGTCAAGGATGGTCTGGAGGATTGACTCGAACCAGTGGTATCAAACAGACAATAGGATCGATCCAATTGAAAGCGTCAGGCGGGTGGGCGGCTTACATTCTTCATCGAGGTCGAATCTAGTGAGGTTGACGAGGGTGTACCGGTTGTAGTAGCGGCCCCCCTGCTTGGGATCGAAGTCGAGGATGCGAGCAAAGGCTTCCGTCGTCCGACCCCTTGGGTCGCCCTCTTCCGTAAGGCGGCGCGCATACCGCAGCTCGTTGCTCCTCAGCTTATCCGCCGCCTCCGCTCGCTCGGCCTCGGTCATGCCTGAGAAATCCGGTTTGGAACCCCCCGTCTCAAAAATGACCTTCCAGTACCTCTGGCACAAGGCTTCGCGCTCTTTGTCGACCTCGGCCCGCTTCTTCCGGAGATCCGCCTTGCTCAAGCCTTTTGAGAATCCCTTTTCCCTCGTACTCAAGCTGAGGCGCGTGATCTCGTTGCTGATCTTCTCCTGCATCTCTTCCTGCGCTCGCAACTCTTCGTACCAGGCCACTGCCGCCTCCACCGCCATAGCCGGACGGAGCAAGGAGAAGCCGATCTAGGGTTTGTGAGTGCGCCCCCTGCTATCCTATTCTCTCCTACCTATATACGGGGACCTGCTGAGGTCTTGTTCGATCGTCTTATTCTCTCCTACCTATATTTTTATTTTCATAACTTGGATTGAAGAGGCAAGTTTGTTTTGATTTGATTTCGACGATGACATAGGTCACTACCGGAAACAGGCCCGTTGCCAAGAGCCAGCGTCTTTGCCGAGAGCCAAATGTCGGGCTCTCGGCAGAGAAAGGTTTGCCGAGAGTCGGCCCTCGGCAACGGTTGGCCATCGGCAAAACCATATTTGCCGAGGGCCAGGCCATCGGCAAAGAATTCCTCTAGGCAACCGGGCCCTTTGCCGAGGGTCTGGCCGTTGGCAAAAGTTTATCTTTGCCGAGGTCTGACTCTCGGCAAAACATGGCCGTCGGTAAACCTATGACGGCAGGCAAACGGCCTTCACCTGCCGTCTGTTTCTGTGCCGAGTGTCGTTTCTGTGCCCTCAGCAAATTTTTTTTTTTGCTTCCAAATTTTTTCCCTGGGTTTACTGTTGTACCTTAAAGTACATATTAAAATTTGGAGTTTTTTTGATTTTATTAGCCATATTTAATAAGTTTATTTCATTTACTTGAATTCTTCCCGGTAATTCAAATTTGAACCGCAGGTGCATCGAATATTGGAATTGAGTGATTCAAAAAATCATATTCATGGTATTGCATGTGGTGTGAGACCGTATCCAGTGACAGATGCCAAATTTGGCGCATCGTTTTCACGGAACACGGCGAGGAACTTGCGTGTAAAATATTTTTAAATTATATAAAATGGAAACAAAGTCCGAAATTCACGAAACTTGTCGAGGTGTCATTTCATCGCATGTATAGGCTATGATAAAAAATTGAGTGGGTTTCGAGCAAGTTGCGACGTCCGATGCCTAAAACCCAGACATCTCCGCAGGTGATCACAGTTGATGTAATGCACATTGAGAAGAATGTCGCCGAAGCTCTCTGGGCAACACTCATGGACACTGACAAGTCAAAGGACAACCCTAAGGCTAGAGCGGACCTAGCAAGGCTGTGCGATAGACCACACCTAGAGATGCGACCACCAAGAGCCGGCAAGACATGGAGAAGGCCTAGGGGCGATTACGTCTTGGAAAAGAAGCACAGGACGGTTGTAGTCCAATGGATCAAGGACTTAATGTTTCCTGATGGGTTTGTAGCGAATCTTAAGAGGGGGGCCAACCCATCTACTGGCCGAGTCTTAGGGATGAAGAGTCACGACTTCCACATATGGATTGAGCGCCTTCTTCCATCGATGGTTCGAGGCTTCATCCCTGAGCATGTTTGGGTCGTGCTGGCAGAGTTGAGCTATTTCTTCCGCCAGCTTTGTGCCAAGGAGTTATCTCGAAACGTGGTGGCTGACTTGGAAAAAAGAGCCCCTGAGTTGATCTGTAAGTTGGAGAAGATATTTCCACCCGGCTTCTTCCTGTCGATGCAACATTTGATTGTGCACCTCCCGTACGAGGCACGAATGGGGGGCCCGTGCAGAACCGCTGGTGCTATCCAATCGAGAGATGTCTAAAGACTATTCGCAAGAAATGTGGAAATAAAGCCAGAATTGAGGCTTCCATGGCAGAGGCGTTCATTAACGAGGAGGTGTCAAACTTCACAACAACATACTATAAGGGCAACCTTCCTAGCGTGCATAATCGACCGGCTCGTTACAATGAGGACGAAAATAAATCTACCCTCAGCCTTTTGAAAGGGTCACTCAGAAGAGCGAGTGCATTGAGCCCAAAGACCTTGAGCAATGAAGAGTGGCGCAGTATCATGCTATATTTGTTGGCCAACCTAGATGAAGTGGCGCCGTATATCGAGTAAGTTCTCAACGAACTTGTTACTTACACCGTCACTATTCTGCATCCAACCCCGTCATGTTTCTTGTCTACACAGGGAATTTGTTAATCTATTCTGGCGTCAATCAAGGCGACCTCGCCCTCATGACGTTAATACCATTCTTAAGGAGCGGGATTTCATTTCTTGGTTCCAAAAGAAGGTACCGTCCAACTTCCCCCTTGTTTCTTGATTTCAAGTTGGTCGTTTGTGTGAATAACATAACGCTCTAGCCTGACTTTGCAGTGCTACAGGGATGCGTCTATAAGTGCCGAATTGCGATAGGTTGCCGATGGCTTCAACTTTAGGGTCATGTCATGTAACGTTTATGACATCAATGGGTATCGCTTTCACACAACAAGCTACGAGCAGAGTCGGCCGCATCGAAGGACCACAAATACTAGAGTTACGACGCCCAGAACTGATGGCAAGGACTATTATGGGATACTTGAAGAAATATACGAACTCCAGTTTCGTGGAGCCGAACCTTTTAGTCCTGTCATATTCAAATGCCGGTGGTTTGATCCTGAGGTATCAAGACAGTACCCTCATCTTGGGCTAGTCGAGACTCGACAGGATTCCATCTATGAAGGTGATGATGTATGGATTGTGGCCACACAAGCCAAGCAAGTCTATTATAGTCCATATGCTTGCCAAACCGAGGAAAACCTTAAGGGTTGGTATGTTGTTCACACAATATCGCCGCACGGTAGACTACCTCTCCCAAACGATGAAGATTACAACTTGAACCCAGAAACACATGACGGAGAGTTCTATCAACATGAAGAGGGCTACAAGGGAGCTTTGAGATAGACTTAACCGGGCTAGTCGAAATGGAGACAGCCATCGAAAGGGTTGTGGACGAGGACTCTGGAGATGAGGTGGAAAATCCAAAGGACATAGTGTTCCTTGACCAATTACACTTAGGTGTTGATAGTGATGATGAGGAGGCGGATGAAGATTTGGACATGGTTGATAGCGATGATGATATGTACAATCCAGCTAATCCCGATCGTGGAGATCGTTTCTAATACATGTAATATTATCTGTTTTTGTAATTATATTCATTTTGCATGTAATTATCTTCATTTTGCATCTCTTTCTAATTATGTATCGTTTATATATGCTAATTGTTTTGTTCTTTTTTAATGCCGGAGATGCCACCCAGGAGGTCCGTCCAGTCTCTTTACGCCAGCCAGGAGGAGCCGGAGGCATCGGTTCAGCCTCCGGAGCTGGTGCCGAGGCGGAGGAGCCACAGGCGTCCGAGCAGGACGCAGCCGACTACCCCTCCGGCCGTGGAGGAGCCTGCCGCCGTGATGGAGCATGTGGATGCAGGGGGGTCCTCCTCCACCTCAGGGGACGAGGCGACTGCAGGGGATGAGGCGACTGCAGGGGGATCCACTTCCTCTAGTGTGTCGACGGTGTACTTGCGTGGTCCCTCGAAGCTCCCGCGTCGACCAATACCTGAAGCGGCCCGCCCACTGATCACACCCTATGAGGATAGGTAAGTAACTTAAGATGTGCTCGAAATTTCTTCATTTGAAATGTTGAAAATCAAAATACAAACTAATACTTTTTGTAATCACTTGTGCAGGAACTAGAAACTTGTGGAGACTGGAGCCAAGGCACGCAAAGTGAATGGCATCCTTGGAGGTCTGTGCAGGGAGCACTACCCTAGCCTGGTGGAGGTGAGCCCGGACATGTTCGAGCTGGCCACTCAGTTCGACCACTACGAATTGGCCGCCGATGCCATGGATCGTAGTGGCCACAGATACAGGAACAAGGTGGAGCGGGTCGTTAGGGACCTGTCGGTAAGTCTTTCAGGCACACATTGTATTCTTTTAGCCACAGATACATCGTATTCATTGGGCATTCTTCTAATAAGTAATTGATACCTCGCGCCTTTATGCAGGATTTCTTTAGAATCGAGGAGGGCAAGGAGCACAGGGCGTACCAGGTGGCGGTCGCTTCTTGTAAGAAGCGCGTCACGGACATGATTCACGACGCGCGTCATCAGGCGCACATTTGGCACTACGCGAAGGTCAAAGGGTGTAGCATCAAAAAGGACGAGGCAAGAAAGGTGGTGTTGACCAATGAGGAGTACCTTGCGGTAAATATGGAACATTACTATTGATTTCTTCTGAGATTAAGTTTCCTTAATTTGATCTTCTGATATATCGTTTGCTTGATGGCCTGTAGGCGATTCCAAACTGGTGCAATCGGCATCCGGATGCCTGGGAGAGGATTGTGGACATGTGGCTCAACCAGGACTGGAAGAAGGAGCATGATGAAGCACGCGAGCGCCATTTGCTGATGCAAGGAGTACCACACCATCAAGGCAGCCGCAACCTCTCCGAATTCTCAGAAGCTTGGGTAAGGCGAAACCATTTCTCTAACCTAACACTCAATTCTGCAACAACTCTAACAATGTTATTGTCTTTCTCGCAGTCGGCGTCACATGGTGGCCGCCCTTGTGGTCACCTCAAGGCATATGCCTTGTCCCACTTGGGCAAGGCGACGGCCGCCACCGACTAGACCCCGGAAGTCCCTGCCGAGTCATTCACCAACGCCAGCATTGCCCCTCGCATCTCTGTGTACACAGAGATGGCAAGGTCAGTCCACGGGCCAGACTACGACCCGACCACCGAGGAGCGGCTTGATCCAGAGCTCATGATGAGGGTGGGGCAAGGCAAGAAGCACGGGCGGTTCTGGCTTGGCGACGGTGTCCTCGACACGACCTCTGTTCCTTCGCTGCACTAGATTCGAGCAGCGAGCACGAGCTCAATGCTGGCCATACGCCAGCACAGTTCCTGCTCGGTCAGCTGCAGGCTACACCTCCACCTCAGCTTGATTCTACTCCGGTGAGTATGACAAATGTTTTAGTTTCTCTAAATGTCAAACCTAGTGAAACCTAGTAAAACATAGTGAAACCTAGTGCTAGTGGTGATGGTGGTGGGTGGTGGTGGCGGCGTGGTTGGTGGTGGTGGTGGCGTGGTAGTGGTGGTGGCTGCGTGGTTGGTGGAGGTGGTGGCGTGGTGGTGTGGTTGTTGTTGGTGGTTGTAGTGGTGTGGTGGTGGTGGCGGCGGTGGTG